ACACTTCGTGTAAGTAATCGAGGTCATCTTTCAATATACAATAGACTTATAGGTCGAATTTTGACGTACCTCGCAAAATAATATTTTTTCGCATTTTTGGAATATCTGTTAAGCTCATTATTGAACAAAGATTTTTCGTATTCGCAAATATACATAAGTAAGTGAGTCAAGATAGCTTCATATATTGTTTAACAACTATAACATCTAAACAATGATCATCAACTCTGTTTTTAAGTATTATTGTCTGAGTAGACGTGTCGTAAATACGGGATCCAACTGACGATGTATAGAAAGTATTATTTTCTTACTTTTTATTCAGCTAGCATGTAAGGATTAGAACTTCATGTGAAACACGATGTCTCTCATTTTTATAAAATGTATTAGATTTGTCTTATTTTAAAAAAGTTATTCCGAAGACTACATTGAAATTTCGTTGAACCATCTATATGAATAAAACTTTGAATAACAGATTTTACCAGATTCACTTCTGTGATTTTCAGACTGGATTCATAATGGATCAATTGAACTCAACAGTGTCTTCATTGTTGGATGCAAATTTGATTGCAACAATAGATTATATCACACTTCAACTCGTTCGCTACTTTTCTATTTTTATTTTTCTTTTTGGTTTGATTGGAAATATTCTTAATGTTTTGGTTTTATCTCAAAGAGCATTTCGTTCTAATCCATGTGCTGTACTTTTTTTATTCTCATCAGTGGTGAATTTTATTGCTATCCTTTCTGGTCTTCTTTCTCGAATATTGTCTGGTTGGGGAGCTGATCTAACAGCAACAAATCGTGTCTTTTGTAAACTTCGTGGCTTTGTTGTCAATATTACAAGATCAGTAGCAATTTGGTATATACTTTTTGCCATGATTGATCGATGGCTTTTGTCCAGTCCTAGTTTACAGCGTCGACAAATGAGCTCATTGAAAAACGCTAAGCGTGCTATGATTATAAGTCTTATTGTAGCTACCTTGATTTTTTCACATGTTATCTATTGTCATGAGCCAAATCTTATTAATGCTCCACAGATATGTTATGGCATTACAAAAATATGTCGATTCATGACGGATACGTCATTTATGTTTCTTGCTATTGTTCCTTTACCTCTCATGTTAATGTTTGGTGTGCTGATCATCTACAACATTCATCAATCACGAAGCAGGCTCGTTCATCGAGATATATTGTTGGTTAGAAACACGATGAGAATTCATACGAATCAACAACATCGATTAAGCAAACAAGATTATAATCTATTGATTATGCTCCTCATGCAAATTTGCATTCTTTTCATATTATCTCTTCCGTTGGCTATTTACAAGTTATACTCAGCAATAGTAACGGATAGAACACCATCTGCATTGGAAGATGCTATTGACACTCTTATATATAGTCTTGTTCAATTATTTCATTTCTTAGCAAATGGAATGCCATTCTATATTTATACATTGACTAGTGGGAGAGTCTTTCGTAAGGCCTTATTCAAACTCTTCGTCCATGTAAGTCATCGGCTCTTTTATAAATGATGATGAGTTTATTTTATCGATTTCATGTTTATTCTATTGAAGTATTTCTTTGACATTTTTATAGCATGGTGTCAGACCTATATAATGCTCATCATGGGGAACGTTGAAATATACTCAAGACGAACGGAAACAGGTCGCTGAAAGGAACCATCAAATTGCATAAATCAATATGACCAAATATTTTGAAAATTTCATCGAATCAATGAGATCTCTGTGAAATCTTTTTGAGTAGTAACTAACAGAATATTTATATTATACTTATTTGTAAGAAAATACCATTGTTTTGTTGTTTATTAATGATTAGATGTTAATAAAACATCCTTTTGACTTGTTCTGATGATTTTTGTGTGAGATCACAAGAAAAAATTGATCTGATAGTGGAATGTGCAACCAGAATACAAGTGACAACTATCTTTCAGCATTGCAAAGTTTTTCGTCCTGTTGTATTCAAAACCAAAATCTCTGTGAAAGTGTGAGCGTTTTCACAATTATTCTCTTACGAACGATTTATGAGCTTTCGCTTAGGGTATTCGACGTGTTTCTACGATAGTCGTTCAAAAAATGTTACTTCATTTTCGAAATATTTTATTGCATTTTTTGAAAGTTATATCAATCATAAAAAGCGACATTTTTAATTTTTTCTGCAGTTTTTGTAAATAGTCATATCTTATCAGAAATACATTTGTTCGTCTTGAAATTTTTATTGTGAATACACCACACGTTCAAATACTTCTCGTAAGAATAGGAGTTCAAATTGAATGCACTGCTGAAAAGTGGATCAATACTGTCTAGTATATAGAAATATTGCTTTTTTTCTGTATTTTGTGCACATATATATCTCAAGATCAAATTTTTAAAAATATTTAGTCGTTTAACACATTTACGGCATTTAAATATAGTTGTTGGAACTTATCAAACAGTTTTAACAGTTTGGATGAGTGTACTTGTAGATATTAGTGTCGATGTGGACTCTCTATTCAGCTACAAGCATACGCATACTCTAGTGACCTCCATGGCACTTTCAAATGGTCTGCAAATAAGAATCAACTGGGGAACACATGTCTATCACTCAATGAAAAGAAATGAAGAAAAAATATACAACAGAAAAAAAACGTAATGACGATCAATCAAAAAGTCGTCTCTCTTTGATTTATATGTATTTTTCAGTTGCATTGAAATATTTTCGAACTTTTCTTCAAGTTGAAAAAGTCCCAAGGTTGTTATGAATCAATGTCACATCATTCTGTCCATAAATAAATAGTTAAAAAAAGAATCATGACTATGCAAATCGCAGGCAACATGCAAAAACAGCCTTAACAGCATGATTAATATGACGTCAAACAGAATAGAGAAAAAGAATTATTCTTCATTGTAAACAACAACTTGCTTTATATAATAATAAGCAGGCTTCAACACTACTAAAATTAACATTTGTCAGCAAATCAAATGCTACGACATTTATTGTCAAGCCATTTTTTACGTCGATTTAAATCTAAAGTAAATTTGTGACATATACACATATTGACATTTTAACATTCTAATACAGTATTTAGATCATGATTATCAACTGGTAGATTCTAGTGAACATGAAGAATATATTTTTTCAGTATCTTCTTCTGAAAACTATCGTAGAACATCCTATACTAGTGATAGATTAGAAAACGAAGAGTATAGTCATTATGGTCCAGCAAAACGAGTAATATCTCAAACTTCTCAAGAAAGCTTTGAAATTTTCTATGAAATTCACAATGGTTTTACATCAGACCAAATATCAATTATTGAAAATGCTTTACAAATCGTTGTTGATAGATTATTTAAACCAGAAATTTTACAAAATATGTATCAAATTTGTGATACATCTGGTTGTTTCATAAAACAAGAAGTATTGTCACACTCAAATCTAATGCAAAATTCAATTTATGACAATGAATATCTTTTATTACATTATCAATTCATGGGTCTGAAAGCCGAAAGTAAACATGGTGGAATTCCCATTCTCAATATTTATCCCATTCATGAAAAAGATAAAAAAGAAAAGAATAATTCTCTTCCGTGTGTTTTTTGTATTTCTCATGGATCATCAGTTTTAATTGATGGTGAATTCAAAATTGAATTAAATCAAGATGAACTTAATGGATCAGTAAAAAACACTTCAAATGCCTTATTTTGGGCTGGAGAAATTGTTTATGAAATGCTTCGTAATTTAGGTCATCAACCCGATGATATTTGTTACACAAATAAATCACAAATTAATGTTTTTAAACAATGTTTTCTATATAATGGAAACTATATTCCTATTAAAAATAAATAAACTTTCAACGGTTCGAAACTCTAGATAAAACTTTTTCTTTTGTCATCAGAGAAAATTGTTGATTTTTACTTCTCATGATTGATAGGAGAATATTTTAATAAAAAATACATTGATATTTATTATAATCTCAAAAGCATTCTTCTCAAACGAATAAAATAAACATTGTTGTCTATGAAGAAAAAAACTCGCTACTACTCTCATACAATCAAAAAATGTTTAGAAAAGAAATCGCAGACTTCATTATGAAATATAAATTACTGCGTATAAGGAATAGATCATCTTTATTGTAGGTAGAAAGATGTCATCATTTATTTTATCATCCGACTTTTTCAACTATCAAGAGTCACAAGTAAGTTACAATGTATGTATTGACATAATGGAATCTTACTATAAAGAATAAATTGCAGTAATCTATATTTCATTGTATTCTTTTCGACTGTTTTGAGAAATCTAAGAATTAAGTTTACATTTGTGATTATTAAGAATGTCATCGAGAGTGAACAACAATTTCATGCTACGCAGAAGCTAAGAAATAGTAAGACTGGTTTGAATATAAAAAAAGAAATCCGTTTTTTTCCATTAAGGATGGTAAAAAAATAAAAAAGAAAGTGTTTACTTGCCAAACTTAAGATAAAATTTAACATATATATTCATACACCACACACAATGAATGTTTTTTTTTCTTATTCTTTGTTTAAATTGTTCGTTTTTTTTATGATTTCATTATGGGTTTTTCTCTTACAGTAAATATTTCTTTTTATTGTTCTGCCAGTAGGATATTTTCAAGAAAACGACATAATTCATTTATTTTATGTCTCGACAAATGAAACTCATCATGATATGTATTATGACTCATTCAATAAAATAAACAAATACTGTTATCCTTTGAAATAATGTAAATGTTATAATGATTACTACAGTAGTATATGTAGATTTCAGTTTATATCTGTGGATGTTTGTAACTGAGGAAGAAAAACAAAGTATTACAAAAATTAGAAAGAGTGAAACAATGGCTTATATTTTTTTTTTATTTTGTTCACAGTTAGGAAAGTTCTCTAATGTAAGATAATATATTGATGGTATGGGTGTGGTTGAAAAGAACAGCATCATCCACACCCACAAAAGAATACCATCTCCGTGTTATTAATTCGATATGCTTTCCTGCATTCTGCAATGTTCTTACCTTTTTCAAGCTTTAGATCAGGCTTTTCAGACGGAGCGTTAATCTCTAGGAAAGATTTGTAAACAAGAGACTTTAAACAACAACTTATTACAGTATGATTAGTATTCAGTTGAATGAAGACAACTCAAGGGTAAACAGGTTGTTGGTGTGGGATGTGAGTGCGGGTATGGGTGTGGTGTGAGTATTCTCTTCACTTACATCGACACCCACATCCCCACATCGATACCCAAGATAGGAAATAACCCAATTGAACCAATTCTCAAAATCTTTTTTGTCAGTTGTTTGGATCCAAATCACTCACAGCCAACTTCTATATCCAAATGTTAAGTGTGATTTATTGAGCTGAAGGAAAACAAACACCCGTTTGTTGTGAACGGCCAATATTCTATTCAAATCAATACTCCATCCTCGGTCTTTTATAATAATATCTTTATGCCACTTGAAAAGATTATTTCAGCAATATCGGAATACCCTCGGTGTCATGGTAGCTATACACAACCGCACTCACATTCTACTAAGGGCAGTCAAAAAGTTCTGTCACTTTCAAATATTTATTCAAAGAAAAAACATTTTGCTAATCTTTTTACAATAAATGTTCGAAGTAGTTCCCATGATGTTCGATACAAAGTTTCATCCTCTCAATCCACTTCTGAAAGGTCTTTGGGTATTCATGAATAGGTATTGATTTAAGTGCCTTGGTTATTGCTTTAGCTAAACTTGTATTATCTGGATATGTGTCAAGGTTACACTACAGACAACTGAGCAATCAAAAGTCTGAAGGACTAAGGTCAGGTGACTATAGTGGATAAACCATAACTTTGGTTTTCCTTCTTGAGTATAACTAAGATTAAGATTAATATCCTGCATACGCATTTTTGCTTTGTCAAGATGCTATGTTTTTTTTATGATAATTTTTTCTTGTGTAAATTTTTGACTAATCTTTTCAAAGATTCATCACGATAATATATATAACAGACGTGTCTCAGGTGGTAACAATATAATCAATACTAATATGTGGATCATCGTTCACCAGATCATTAACAGCATCAATATTTTGTTGAGTAATGGCGGTTATTGGACGACCACTTCGAGGATATCTTCCAAGGGCTGTTGCTCGTTTGAAAATCGTTCAACCCATCGAGCAACTGTACGATATGAAACAACACTTTGTCCATAAGCAATAGTTAATTCATCATGAATTTGTGTAGCAGTTAAACCTAATAACAAACGAGTTTTTATATATGACCGTAAACACAGTTTATCCATCTGGAAATAGAGGTGTTCAATAAATTCGTTAAAAATTTGCCATAATAGACACTTATGAAACTTTGTATTGGTATTTTAACAGATAACAGATGTCACTACTAGAATAGGTAAACATGAGGAGTAAAACCAATCAGGATCAAATTTTAGATAGCTGTTGCCAAAATGTTTTGACTATCCGTAGTACAAGACATTCCGGATCACCGAACCATCAATACCGACTTCATTATAAACAATCCAAGACAACAATTCAATTTTCTCACGATTCTTATAATTATATAGAATACTATGCCATTTGAAGGATCTCTTTGCCGAGACCGAATCTAGATCATCGTAGCTAGCACACATCCACACTCTGAACCCGAACCGACCGATGACCTTTTGCTAACAACAAAAATAGCAGTGCCATCCAACTTTGTCATCAAATTTGACGCATCTTCAATATTGTCTTGTATGATCAACCTATCTACATATGAAGAGCCTACTTGCTTAGTTGAATTACCTATATCATGGTAGCTTAACACATTCACACCCCCCCCCCCTAGTGGAGTTATACATATCCATAAGCAAATATTAATTTACATCCCTACTTCAAATGTAACATCGTTGTTAATAGAGTTTAAAGGATAGAAAATATAGAGTGGTACACTTGAATTTATTTTGTTTTCAGCGGCAGTAGTTTTACTACTCTAGTCTTTTCCACTTCTTTGTTGGCTGCACCAAAATATCGTTCTGTTGCAAAGCTCCAATGAATTAAGCCAACAATCCATTGTTGCATCGATATTACATAGGTTGCAACGTCTTGGTCAATTTTTGAGCCGAACGAAGGAAGCTTCTCCTTTTCGGCTACAAAAGCATCATAATGTCTTTTAATGAGGTCTCCAACGAAGTTAATACTCTCTTGGAGTGAATGGCCTTCTTTCATGACAATAGCGACGAGATTGTAAGTCTCTCCCCAAGATTGTTCCACATTGAAACTGTAGAGATCCTATAACAACATGTTCGTATTTGTTATAAGTGCCAAAACAAATAAGTTTATCACTTACATTTATCCAGGCGACTAGGTCATTACAGTACATAGAAAGCTTTTGAATGATGGAATTGTTGATGACCTCATCCGGAATATCGAGGTCCATGCCATATTCGATCAAGTCAAAAGAACATAGAATTCCGTTTGTCTGACGACGCAGCTCAATATAAGCACTCCTGTTGAGCTCAATATTTTTCGTCCGGTTGATAACTTGTTGAAGAACAGCTTGTAAATATTCCTCCAAGTGTTGAATTAAACGTCTCTGACATGTCTCCGATGCCGTCTTTTTCACTTGTAGTATAATGCTTCGCAGCATTTCTGCAGCAACAAACGAGGTTTTTGGAAACATCTTGGGATCGCGCAAAACATTTATGGTGAGTTCCGTAGCATGCTTTGCATCATTAGGATTCTTGCTCCATTCACCATCATCGAAAAAATCATCGTAAACAAACACGAAGTGGTAATACTTAGCTAATACACATAGACGTTTGCAGTCAATTGTACGGTGTGTCATTGCAGTCAGCAAGGGAAACCGCCCCCTATTTAATTTTCCAGGTTTTGTTATACGATACGCTCTTAACCACATATTTGCTGTTGTGTTTGCCGTACCATAGTAAGGATTAATTTGATACTCAAATGGACAATATTTGAGAATATCCGGTAAAACGAATGTCTCTGCTGAAGCTATTGACATATTTGTAGACAAGTGCTCTCAAAAGTTGACGTTCGAAAATAGTTGCACAAGCACAAAATAAGCTTGGCCTTGCGCGAGCAGAGCTGATTACTTTCAGAACAATACAACACGTATTGTAATAGTTTCTTATATCTTAAAGAAATAAATAATATCTAACAATTCACTCATAGCACTGATAGAGTATCAATTCAGAAAAAAACAGTGAAATGAAATAACGCTTACTTCTTAGCAGCTATCTATTGATCAACTGGATCCATATCGCAGTTTCTCAATCGGATTCGTCTTGCGAGGGAACCTTCCCAAGTGTTAATCGCCGATCGTGCTCATATTTTGCCCATAAGTAAAACTCGATGAGACTAGCAGAAGCCCGAAAGGATTCATCCCCATACGCTGTCCTTCCGGAGTTACGATCGTTTTATTGGCTTTTCCACCTCTGACAATGGTATTTATAGGAAAGCCCAACAATGGAATTTTGACCTGAAATTTTGTTCATAAACAGGTCTCATTGTCACTAGAATGCCCTCAAAGTTTCAGCTAAAATTGAACGTTTCTTTCTCAAGATATTGAGTTTCCAAGAAGCTCGATTTTTTGACCTTTGCCTGTGAAATATGATCGTTTCTTGAAAATTCAATATCTTGAGAAAGAAACGTTCATTTTAACTGAAACTTTGAGGACATTCTAGTGACAATGAGACCTGTTTATGAACAAAATTTCAGGTCAAAATTCCATTGTTGGGCTTCCCTATAAATACCATTGTCAGAGGTGGAAAAGCCAATAAAACGATCGTAACTCCGGAAGGACAGCGTATGGGGATGAATCCTTTCGGGCTT